ATCAAGTCCAACCACACACAGCAGCCAAAGCCCCAAAACAGGGGAGCAGCCCTCCCCAAAGCCTTCATCAGGTGGTGCCTCATCAGTGATGTCTTGAGCAGTGCTTTGGCAGCTGAACAGCATCCTGCCTCCTCTGCTCCTGGTCCTATGGCACGGGTGCTGGCTGCCATGGCACCCATGTACTCCTCCCCTCCCAGCAGGACCCCTGGGTGCCACGTGCATGGGAGGGGCACCTTGGTATGGGGCAGGATCCATGGGCACCAAGCACATGGCTGAGTCATCATTGTATGGGGCAGGACCCATTGGTGACAGGGTCATGGCGGGGTCATCATGGTATGGGACAGAACCTGTGGGTGCCAGGCTTGTGGCATAGTGTACTCTGGTATGGGGCAGGACCCATGTGCATCATGGACACCCTGGTGTTGGGATAGATCCATGGATGCAAGATGCATGTCAAGGCACCCCCTGCTGTGGATCCATGGGTGCCATGCACATGTGAAGGGCACCACGGTGTGGTGCAGAACCTATGGGTGCCATGTGTATGGCGTGAACACCCAGGTATGAGGCAGCACCCATGGGTGCCATGCGCATGACAGCATCATCATGGTATGGGGTAGCATCCACGGGTGTCAGGCGCATAGCAGATTCATCCTGGTATGGGACAAGAGCCATGGGTGCCATGTGCATGTTGTGAACACCCTGGCATGGGGCAGGACCCATGGGTGCCATGCACTTGGCAGAGTTATCATCATATGGGACAACATCCCTGGGTGCCAGGCACACGACAGCATCATCATGATATGGGGCAGGAGCCATGGGTGCTGGGCACTTGGCAGTCATCACTGTATGGGGCAGTGTCCCTGGGTGCCAGGCACTTGGCAGCATCACCATGGTGTGGTGCAGGACCCATGGGTACCATGCACATGAGAGCATCATCATGATACGGGGCAGGACCCATGGGTACTATGCACATGAGAGCATCATCATGATACGGAGCAGGAGCCATGGGTGCTGGACACTTGGCAGAGTCATCACTGTATAGGGCAGCGTCCCTGGGTGCCAGGCACTTGGCAGCATCACCATGGTGTGGTGCAGGACCCATGGGCACTATGCACATGAGAGCATCATCATGATACAGGGCAGGACCCATGGGTACTATGCACATGAGAGCATCATCATGATACGGGGCAGGAGCCATGGGTACCATGCACATGAGAGCATCACCATGATACAGGGCAGCGTCCCTGGGTGCCAGGCACTTGGCAGCATCACCATGGTGTGGTGCAGGACCCATGGGTACCAGGCACATATCAGGGGCACGCTGGCACGGGGCTGGTGCGAGCGGCAGGCCATGTGGGGCGGGCAGCGCGGGGACCGGCGCTCATTACACGTGTATTATTCATCGGCAGCTTCTGTCGCCTGCCATCTGTTCCCGGCGGCGCGGCGGGCGGGCGGCAGCAGCACAACGGGGCTCGCACAGCCCCGCTCCTGCTGTCACACCTGGGCTGCCACCGCACTGCGGCCGGACAGGGTGCGCGGTGTCCCCGCTGCACCCCGCGGTGATGCTCCATGGGGTGTTGGGTGCCTGGGACCGTGCCATGGCCCCCGAAGAGAGTTTGTACCCCTTTGGTTGCACCATAGGAGCCGTGGCCTATGGTGAGCAGCTCTGGGCAGGACTGGGGCTCTTCCCACCAGCTCCCAGATGCTGCTTGGTGCTGGGCCGTGCACCCATGCCTGAAGGCTTTTCCTCCTTGGAGTGCATCAGCCGAGCTCACCTTACACCCCAAGAAGCACCTTCACCCCCCCACCTTTTAATTAAAACACTTGATGAACTATCCGATGAGAACACAGCGTCCAAGTGGGGTCTCCAGTGAGCTGCCTGTGAGGAAGATGAGGCCCCAGCATGGGGACACGCATTGTGCTCCCATCCCCTCCTCGGCGCTTTCCCTGTTTCTGCCCCTTGACTGCATCCCGCAGCGCACACAGGAGGACTGGAGCACCCATTAGGCCAGAGCTTGCTGCTCTAAATTGATAATTGCCAGGTTTTAATTACTCGGCAGCCAAATGACCTTTTGCATCTGCCATTGAGGCCATGAAACATCTCCCTGAGTGGGAGCAAACACACAGCGGAGGACAGGAGGGGGCTGCCACGCTTCCAGCTTCACCAGAACCCATGGGTGATAGGGACAAGTCCAGGAAATGGTGCACTGGAAGGTGAGCATGGGGACCCCCAGGCCTCACACATTCCCAGCACTTCCCTCCAGTTGCAGGCAGGATACTGAGGAGCAAAGAGCTGTGCTCAGAGCCTGTTGTGCAGTGCAGGGGTGTGCAGCTGGAGGTACCAGGATGAAAGCAGGACCAGAGTGTTCACAGGCAGGGGGCTTTCACCATCACCAAAGTGGGATGGGTACCTCTAGCCATGGCCTTGGGGGAGAGCTGGTACCATGAGCACTGGCATGGTGCAGCATCCCTGGGGCAGAGGTGGTACCTTGAGCCCTGGTGTGGTGCAGCATCCCTGGGGCAGAGCTGGTACCCTGAGCCCTGGAATGGTGCAGCATCCCTGGAGCACAGCTGGTACCCTGAGCACTGGCATGGTGCAGCATCCCTGGGGCAGAGCTGGTACCCTGAGCCCTGGCATGGTGCAGCATCCCTGGGGCAGAGCTGGTACCCTGAGCCCTGGTAAGGTGCAGCATCCCTGGAGCAGAGGTGGTACCCTGAGCCCTGGCATGGTGCAGCATCCCTGGAGCAGAGCTGGTACCATGAGCCCTGGCATGGTGCAGCATCCCTAGGGCAGAGCTGGTACCCTCAGCCCTGGTAAGGTGCAGCATCCCTGGAGCAGAGCTGGTACCATGAGCAATGGCGTGGTGCAGCATCCCTGGAGCAGAGCTGGTACCCTGAGCCCTGGCATGGTACAGCATCCCTGGGGCAGAGCCATCCTTCTGGGCTCCAGCCCAGCACAGGCTGCAATGGGTTGCCTTGCATATGTAGGGTCTCTTCTGCCCTTTTGCTCTCCTGGATCAGCCTCATCCTTCCCATTTCCCCTTTCTCCTGGACACAAATCCAGCCTTTATTGTGACAAGTCCTCCGCTGGGGCCTGCAGCTCCCGTGCAAGCACCCCATGAACCAGGCAGGGCCCCTGCCTGCCCCACGCTGCCTGCACCTCTCTCCACGTGCCGCCATCCCTCGCCTCTCGCTCCTGCGGAAAGGAGCCCTTCTCCTGGCGATAATTACTGCAAAGTTCAGTGCCGAGAGACGGGGGGAGGGCTGTATTAAAATGCATGTGCACAGCTTGGGCCTCGCAGCAGATGTTGGCATAATTAGAGAGGAAAAAATTATGAAATTAATTTGTGGTTCAATGTAAATTTCGGCGTTGGGGGGAAAGCGCGATCCCCCCTCGCCCCCCGCGCGCTGCTGCCGGCACACGCTTCCTCACCGGCTGCCATTGGGGCCCTGCTGTGGAGGGTCTGGGGGAGCACTGAGGCTGGTGAGGGTGGCATGGTGATGGGTGATACCCACCCTTAGAGGTGCTGGTGGATAGCGGTGCTGCCTCCTGGCTCCATTGCTTTGGGGCATAGAGGTGTGGGCCAACAGCCCAGGGAGGTGGGACCCCAGAACAGGGAGATGGGCCACCAAACTAAAGAGATGGACAACCAGCACAGGGAGATGGGTCACTATTCCAGCAGATGGAAAACACGCCAAGGAAGATGGGCACCAGCCCAGGGAGGTGGATCACCAGTTCCTGTAAATGAGGATGCTAAAAGAGGAGATTTGGGGAGAAACGTCAAAAGTGAAGTCTAGTGATGGTCATGGGTTGGTATTTCTGTTGGATTCTCACAAATACACATCTGCTGATCTGCTGACACTGATAAGCTCAGTGTCCCAACCACCTTGGGGGGCCCTTCCCCTTAAGGGGGACAGAGTTCATCCATGCAAGGGCCATTCTTGTACATGTGTTGGTGGCATTCCCAGACTGCACTACAGCAGTGCATCAGGAGCAGCCAGACAAAGCTTTTCCCATCTCCTGTTCTTTGGGAGCTGGAGAGGAATTAATATCTGCCACCTCCCCCCATCCAACCCCAGCCCCTGGGGAGGGGGCACAGGCTCAGGTTAATGCTCCCATTGATCGGCAGCATCCTCCGGTTATGGTTGCTCTGTGCCGCGATGCACCGTGGCCTATTTTGCCATTGCCAGCGTGTGATGGATGGTCTGTGTCTGGGTGAGCATGACCCCACCACCACCATCACCACAGGGAAATCGGGGTCAGCCCCGGGGTCTGTGCTCAGCTGGGGCAATGTGGGGAGACAGGGGCTTTGTGCTGGACCTTGCATCCCACCACTGGTTGTTTGCACTGGGGGGGGTCCCTGAATTAGTGCTTCGGATGGAGCTGCAGGAGGCTGCTCCTCAAGGTGCGGATGAACTCAGGGGAGATGTTGCCCAACCAAGAACCCCCCAAAGTTGAATGTGTCCCCAAAGCATAGCCCCAAATGCTGGAGCAGAAAGCAGGGGCAAGCCACAGCCCCCCAGCACTTGCATCCTCCTGCCCTCCCCAGCTCCATGGTGCTGGTTCTCTTGTGTAGCCGAAAGCACTGTGGCCTTAGAGAGGGATGCAGGCAGCCCTTGTGGATGCTAGACCCTGACTGTGGCCACCATATCCCCTCCTCTCCCTCAGCTGCTTTGCTAGGGTTGTCCCTGTGGCCTGGGAATCATTCCCATATCCCAGTTAATCAGTGCAACGAGTGGAGATGCATCCCTGCAGTTTAACCAAGCAATACTGCTGGTGTTAGCAGGCTAGGCACTGTGGGGATGAACAAAAGGGGGCTCTCCATGGCTCCCACACTGGGAGTGCTGGGATCCTTTGGGCATCACTGGTGGGGAAAGAGGGATGAGGAGAGCCCAGCAGCGACCCCCCTGCATCCCCTTGTCCTTGTCCCCAGCACTGCGCAGAGCAGGCTCAACAGTCAGGCACCGGCGCCCGTGTGCTTCCTGGTGTGGCTCCATCTGGCTCCATCTGCTTCCACCCGGTCTCGGCTGGACCAAATGTGGGTCGAGGCGAGCGTGGGTGACACACCGTGGTGCGGCCGGAGAGCAGCTGATCCCCCCGGGCTGCGCCGGGATTAACAAGCTGCCGCCGAGCTGGCGCGGGGATCGTCTCCTGCGAAAGGTTCCCTTGCAGGGGATTACGGATAATGCATCTGGAGCCGCACTCGCTCATCCAGGTCTGTGATTTATCTCAAAATCAAATTCTGGTAATCTCCCCTGCCATCTGGCCCCCGCGGACGCGGGGATATAGAGATCCATCCCCCCCCGAGCATCGTCCCTGACCTGCCATGAGGAGGGCAGAATGGGCTGCGGGGTCTCTGAGGGTGGCACAGGGCACCCTGGGCAGAAGATACCCCAAGGAGCCTTTTTGGGTGCTTATGTGCCAGGATGCGGGCAGGACCCAAAGAGCTCAGCCCCTGGCAGGGATGCTCCATGTCCCTGTGTCCCCACACATCCATAGGTGTCAGGATGCGGGAAGGACCCAAAGAGCTCAGCCCCTTGCAGGGATGCTCCATGTCCCTGTGTCCCCACACATCCATAGGTGCCAGGATATGGGCAGGACGCAGAGAGGTCACCCCCTTGCAGGGATGCTCCATGTCCCTGTGTCCCCACACATCCATAGGTGCCAGGATGCAGGCAGGACGCAGAGAGGTCACCCCCTTGCAGGGATGCTCCATGTCCCTGTGTCCCCACACATCCATAGGTGCCAGGATGCGGGCAGGACCCAAACAGCTCAGCCCCTGGCAGGGATGCTCCATGTCCCTGTGTCCCTACACATCCATAGGTGCCAGGATGCGGGAAGGACCCAAAGAGCTCAGCCCCTTGCAGGGATGCTCCATGTCCCTGTGTCCCCACACATCCATAGGTGCCAGGATGCAGGCAGGACGCAGAGAGCTCAGCTCCTTGCAGGGATGCTCCATGTCCCTGTGTCCCTACACATCCATAGGTGCCAGGATGCAGGCAGGACGCAGAGAGCTCAGCTCCTTGCAGGGATGCTCCATGTCCCTGTGTCCCCACACATCCATAGGTGCCAGGATGCGGGCAGGACCCAAACAGCTCAGCCCCTGGCAGGGATGCTCCATGTCCCTGTGTCCCCACACATACATAGGTGCCAGGATGCGGGCAGGACCCAAAGAGCTCAGCCCCTTGCAGGGATGCTCCATGTCCCTGTGTCCCCACACATCCATAGGTGCCAGGATATGGGCAGGACGCAGAGAGCTCAGCCCCTGTCAGGGATGCTCCGTGTCCCTGTGTCCCCACACATCCATAGGTGCCAGGATGCAGGCAGGACCCAAAGAGCTCAGCCCCTTGCAGGGATGCTCCATGTCCCTGTGTCCCCACACACCCATAGGTGCCAGGATGCAGGCAGGACGCAGAGAGCTCAGGCCCTTGCAGGGATGCTCCATGTCCCTGTGTCCCCACACATCCATAGGTGCCAGGATGCGGGAAGGACCCAAAGAGCTCAGCCCCTGGCAGGGATGCTCCGTGTCCCTGTGTCCCCACACATCCATAGGTGCTAGGATAGAGGCAAGACGCAGAGAGCTCAGCCCCTTGCAGGGATGCTCCGTGTCCCTGTGTCCCCACACATCCATAGGTGCCAGGATGCGGGAAGGACCCAAAGAGCTCAGCCCCTTGCAGGGATGCTCCATGTCCCTGTGTCCCCACACATCCATAGGTGCCAGGATATGGGCAGGACCAGCGAGCTCAGCCCCTTGCAGGGATGCTCCGTGTCCCTGTGTCCCCACACATCCATAGGTGCCAGGATATGGGCAGGACGCAGAGAGCTCAGCCCTTGAAGGGATGCTCCGTGTCCCTGTGTCCCCACACATCCATAGGTGCCAGGATGCGGGCAGGACGCAGAGAGCTCAGGCCCTTGCAGGGATGCTCCATGTCCCTGTGTCCCCACACATCCATAGGTGCTAGGATAGAGGCAAGACGCAGAGAGCTCAGCCCCTTGGAGGGATGCTCCGTGTCCCTATGTCCCCACACATCCATAGGTGCCAGGATGCGATCAGGATGCAGAGAGCTCAGCCCCTTGCAGGGATGCTCCATGTCCCTGTGTCCCCACACATCCATAGGTGCTAGGATGCAGGCAGGACGCAGAGAGCTCAGCCCCTTGCAGGGATGCTCTGTGTCCCTGTGTCCCCACACATCCATAGGTGCCAGGATATGGTCAGGACCAGCGGGCTCAGCCCCTTGCAGGGATGCTCCATGTCCCTGTGTCCCCACACATCCATAGGTGCGAGGATATGGGCAGGACCAGCGAGCTCAGCCCCTTGCAGGGATGCTCCGTGTTCCTGTGTCCCCACACATCCATAGGTGCCAGGATGCAGGCAGGATGCAGAGAGCTCAGCCCCTGTCAGGGATGCTCCGTGTCCCTGTGTCCCCACACATCCATAGGTGCCAGGATATGGGCAGGACCAGCGAGCTCAGCCCCTTGAGGAACACAGGCAGTAGGGCGGTGATGGGGAGGAAGAGGTGACCCTGGCGGTGCCCAGAGGACATGCCGGAGGCAGGGATGCCCCAGCCCCAGCGGGGAAGGCAGGAGGAGGCAGGATGCATCCCTTCCCTTGGCAGGGAGGCTGGAGGGTGGCCCGGGGGGGCCGGGTCCCCCTGAGCTCCCCTCCCCGCCCTTCATTCCCAGCTCATTAAGGCTCTCCCATTATTCTGACATTTGTGCGCGTCACGTACCGGGAAGAAGTAATTTACTTAGAAGAAATTAAAAGTTCATTTTAATTGAGCGCACACTGCAGTATGCAAATGCGGGGCGCATTATGTACACTGATGCAGAGACAAAGGCTGTAATCAACTGTTAACCCTCTGCAAGCCAGCCCCACGCCTCGCAGCAGCACCCGCACAGCTCCAGCCACGACAGAGACCCCATGCACACATGTGGGGTGTCCCCCAGCCATGTGGCTCCATGACCTGGTGTAGGTGCAGGGTAAACCCCTTGTGCATCTCTGTGTGCCAGCTCGGATGCAGGAGCCAGAATGGGATGCCAGTGATGGATGCTGTTCCCCAAATCGCTGTGATGTGCTGGGATGGCTCCAAGCCAGTGAGACAGGGTGCATGGTTGGGGCAGGGACTCTCTAAGGGTGATTAAGCCTTTTTGGGGAGCCCAGATAAGATGGGCATGGAGATTCAAAGCCGAGCTGGGTTGGAGATGCATGTCCAAAGGCCAAAATATGGCTCGTGGGTTTGGATTTGAGGGTGGTTGCAGATGTGACCAGCCCATGATATTTGCAGCATCCTGTTGCCCAGGAGTTCCTCAGCTGCTTTTTATTTTTCTTTTAGGCTTTTCTCCCTTTTATTTTGGTTTACTTTTTTTTTTTACTACCTGTCAGACCTGAGATTTTTTAATAGCAGTGCAAATAGAACTGGTTCACAGATGTGAGATGACAGCCCGCTGCAGGAGACAGACAAATTACCTCCATCCTCGCCTCAAGATGCCCGCAGACTCCCAAACAAAGAGAGATGGTGGGGAGGGAGGGATGTGTAGCGAGTTGTCAGTGCTCAGCGAGGCTGCCCACATTACTCCATGGGTGCTTTGAAGGTGTGCATCGTGTCTGTGGGCATCCCGTGCACACCAGTGCCATCGCAAAAGGCCTGTTGTGGGGATGGCATGTGTGAACATCCGACATTGTGTTATGGGTGGGTGATGCTAAAAAGCAAGGAGGGGTTTGGGGACAGAGCTTTTCCCTTGGAGGTGGCACACTGAGGTCGGGATGCTCTTGGCATAGACCCAGCCACCCGTTTGCAGGAGGGGTGATGCTGTCAAGGCACCCAAGGGTGTCAGAGACAGACCCAGGATGGACCCTGACACCTTGGGGTATGGGTGATGATAGCACTTTTGACCCCAGGGCCGCATGGGAGAGCTGCACCTTGGAGCTGGTATCTTCACCTTGGCCACCCTTTGCCTATGTGGTGCTCCCAGTAGGAAAGGCAACCAGGGTGGTCTGGTCGGAGGGAGGATTTAATTGGTGCCGTTGTAACCTTTGCATCCCATCCCATGTGCCAGCTGAGCGCCCGGCTCCGCAGCTCCAGATGGCACCCGGGAAAGAGTTAAGTCCGCTGTGATCAACAGCAAGAAGCAAGTGGTAAACAGTTTTTCTCTCCCTCTACTAAATTAATATGCAAATTCCCCCTCCCCAACTCTCTCCTCTCCCCCCCCCCCTTTGCTTCGAAATTAGCGAGGTAGAATGCTTGGGCTAATTATGCATTCAAACGAGCAGGCTTCGTTAATGTGGCACTAAGAGGAGCCTGAAAATGATTGTGAGACGATGAAATTGAAATTGGAGCACGGCACTTCTAATGCATCTGGAGTCACTCTTGCGTGCCCCAGCAGATGTAACCTGGCAGTGACCGGCAGCACCAATCACCCTGCCTGTGCCCGGGCACCTACATCACCCACGGCACCTTCCTCCTGCTTCTTGCCTCCTGCTCTGAAACCAACTGGTTATAAGGTTTCCCAGCCACATTCCCAACCCAAGGATGGAGGGGTGCAATGGGGCTGAGGACTGTGTACCCAGAGCTCCCAACTTGGGGACCTCGGTGGGTTCATGCAGGTCCTGGCTGGAGATGCCACTGTCATCCTCCGTTCTCCCGTGGCCTGTAGCATTCTCCTCCCCAGGTTGAATGCTGGCCCCTGAGGCAGCCATCCAGGCCTCAGTGTGTTTGGTAAAGCTCCATGTGTACTGGTGTTTGAATGGATAAGCCTCCCGATGGATAAACCTCCTCCTTTGCCTGGACATGCTCTTGGCAATGCTGAAACCCAGTGGCTACAGAGGCTTTGTAGTGGGGTTCCCATCCTTGTCGCCACATCCCAGCAGGTCAGCGGGTTGGGTGCATGGCAGTTGTTGGTGCATCCCAGCAAGTACCATACTGGTGGCACATCCACATCCACCACATTGTACAGCCCAAATCATGAACTCCCATCCTAGGACTGTTCCATGCATGAGAGGGCTGGGCGGCACAGTGGCATCAGGGACCAGGTAGGGGTGTCTCCATTCAGCAGCCTTCTCCCATGGGACTGGGGATCTGCAGAGGCAAAAGCAGGACACAAGTCTGAGGGTGACAAGACAAGTCAGGGAGATGTTTTGTGCTGGGGATAAGCAGCTGTGGGCTGCAACAAACACGTGGGATGATGAGGGATTTATGGGTATCACCAGCTCAGGATGCCACCATCCTCAATCTCCCCTGGGCTAACTGCTCACTGCTGTCTGCACAGGCTTGGGTTCAGCCACAATAAGCCCAGTTTCTCATGAGACCCAGCAGCAGCCTTGACCCAGCAGCTGCAGTGGGACCAAAACCAACCCTCCCTCCCCGCAGGTAGTAGAGATGGATCTTGGTGTTAAATATTCATCAGAGGTGTGGATTTTACTGGAATCATGCATTAAGCAAGCTTTGCAGCATGGTCCCAGTAGCTGTGGCATGCTGTGGTGGGCGGAAGGTGGTGAGGAAGGAAGACGGATGCTCTGGAGGAGGCTGCAGAGCCATAAGCCAGCTGCACTGTTAGTAATCAGTGAGGATCTACAGACTTTAGGCACTCAACCACTAGGAATAAATAGAAGAAATAACTAGACAAGGAGATGAATAGTCCCCCACAAAGGAGGGGAAGGAAGCAGGGATGCAGACCCTGGAGTGGGGTACAGTTTGGTTCAGAAGGATGCTGAGCACCCTGGAGGGAAGTTGAGCATCCCAAAGGGATGCTGGGCACCCTGTAGTGATGTCAAGCACCCCAGAGGGATGCTGAGCGCTCCCGAGCTCACACCTTCACAGAGGAGGCCATTAGGCTCAGAGCAAGCAGCCTTCCCCATCGTGTGCATGGGCAAGGGCTGGGTGAGGGCAGCCCATGGGCTGTGCTCTGCAGCGTGTCCCAGGGCTGGGGCTGGCTTGTGGAGGGGGTTGTTTTCCCCCTCTCTCCGGTAATTTTTCCCTCTGACTATGATGCATAGCGGTGCTAATTCGGCACGTTGCCATTAATTCCAGCACAGCTGCTGCTCTCTCCCTCAAGGCATTTCGCTAATACTCAGCTTCAGAGCCTCTCAGCAAATTAACATCATTTGTTCTGCAGAACATGTTTTATTTCTACACTACATGCATAGCTTATTACTCCACCAGAAATTTGGGGTGTGCAGGAAGCAGTGCCAGCGGGCATGGCCCTCCAGAGCAAGCCCTGCTCCCCACCTTGCCATGCTGGTCCCCAGGCAGGCGCAGGGACATCGTGGCACAATCCCCCATGTGCCACCTCGCACTGCCATGGCTGACCCGAGATGGAGCTGCAGGTATTTCCCCCCCAGTACCAGGATGCTCCAGTGCTGCCAGTGCAGCCCAGGCTGGGGATATGATGTGGGATGGTGGCAATGTGCTGGATCAGTCGCTGGCTGGCATCTCCTGTATCCTCTTGGCCTGACACAACACCCTGGTGCAGAGGGATGCTCCCATGTTTATGGACAGTGGTGACAAGAGGTCCAAGTGGGCCAGGGCTGGAGCATCAGGCACTCAGCACCTAGAGCAGGGAGCCCCAGAGGTGGCTGTGGCAGAGATGTGTTCCCCCATTCCTAGCCAGCACAGCAGACCTGTACCCCAACATCGTCCTGCTGCCCCCATGGCCACCCTGTGACCACTCTTCCCTCCTGGGGTTATCAATCAGATCCTGGAGCTGCCAGTGTGGTGCCACAGGGTGTCCTGAGCTGGGTAGGGTGTCCTGCCCACCACCAGACAAACCACACCACCCGCTGGTGGTAATTTCAGGTCTTCCGCTTTGATTAAGGTTATTTAAGCTTTTTACCGAAACATAAAACCTGATTGTTTGCATAAACAACCTAATTGGATTATAGTGCACAGCATCGCTAATGCTGTGGGCTGGCTGGGTGCCGGCGGCAGCACCAGGGCCGTGCTGGCAAAGAGGGCCTCCACCTCTGCCCTTCCTGGTGTGGTTTTGGCAAGGGATGGGTGAGACACCTCAGTGCCCCATGGTGGGATGTGCATTCACTCACCTCCCCTCCCACCATCCACAGACCCTGCCTTGGGGTGGGTGATGGCGAGGGGACACCAGCATCCCCAGCACATGGGTCTGGATGTGCCCTTGGCAATGTAAGGAGAGAGGGGATGAAGCCCCTGCTCCAGCACTGCCTGCGGGAGAAGGAAGAGGAAGGAGGAACAGCGGAAAGGTGCTGAGCGGGAAGCGGGGGCCGGGACCCCGGGGGGATGGCTTTGCAGGAATGCTGCCTGCGCAGCGTTTCCATGGCTGGGAGCTGCAGAAGGCTTTCATGGCAAAAGGCGGAGAGGCTCCATGAATATTTCATTAGGAAAGCAATGTGGTGTGCTGCAGAGAACATCTGGCTGAAGTCCCTGGAGACCCCTGCCTTGTGCAGGAAGCAGGAACTGTGAAATATGGAGGAAAACGGGGGAGAGCAAGAGATGGGGGGAGCGTTCTGTAACACAGACAGCATTCCTGCCCCAGCCCTGCAATGGGAAGTATGGGGCAGGCAAAGGGCTTTGTCCTCCCATGAATAGCGGCCCCAGGAGGTTTGAATGAGGTGGAGAGGCTGCGGTGGTGCCATTCAGCTGCTGGAGGCCCTTTTCCAATCCTTCTCCATGGGATGCTTGTGGACCAGGCTGCAGCACGGTCTGTCCATCACAAGCAGGGTGCTGTGTTTAATCCCAGTATCTGATGCAGGAATGGGCAGAGCTACTCCTCCAGCTTGGATTCGTGATGCATGGGCTGGCTGTGAGGCATCCAGGCATGGACCAGTCTGGCTAGTGATGCTTGAGCATGGGATGGGATGTGATGGGACAGGCCAGCTCCTCTTGCCTTACTCCCAGGAAAACGCTGATGGCCTCAAAGTTGGACGCTGGGATCCCTGCCATGGCAGGCAATGGGTGCTGGGGTCAGGTACCCTGAGGGAGGTTTGTCATGGTGCTGGTGCAGCAAGCACGTCCCTGGGAACAGGCCGGGTCCTCCAGTGGTGCAGAGCAGCAGGGAAGAGCTGGGTGATGCCGGGGCTCAGCATTGCCAACATCTCTCTTTCCCTGAGTTCAACGCCAGCTCCTTCCCCCGGTGCCAGCCAGGTTTGATGCCTGGGGTCCTGGCCAGAGTCCTTTGCCTTCATATGGGTTCCAGCAAGGCTGTGAAGCCACGGTGCTCCCGGCACACTGGTGTCCACCGCTGGCTCCAGCGTTGCTCCTGCACCCACCTGGACCAGCATGCGGCCGCATCAGTGCTGCTAGACTGAGGCTCTGCCCTGCACCCCTCATCCCCATCCCCAAGGCTCCCAACACACACCCTCACCCCCAACAACCCATTGCCATGTGCCCTGCGTTGTGTGGCTCATGGCCACAGGACCATGAGCTTCCCGGTGCCCCGCAACCCTCCCCACCACGGTGATGGGTGCGGAGGGCTCTTTGTCCACCCTCCCTTTCTCCCTTCTCTCCCAGCCACCCCTCGCCCCAGGTTTGGCTCTGTGGCAGCCCTGGTGTGGGAGCAGGGGATGGCTCCCATGTGCCAGCCCTGCCGTCAGCAGGACTCTGGCTCACGCCGCCCCTGCCTGTGCCCTGCACAGCTCCCGGCACCGCCGCCGCCGGCAGACAAAGCCCAACCAGACAAAGCTGCGACCTCCCTCGCGGCCCCTGCGTGTGCGGCCAGGCGACGGCAAATCCCCCTTTGCAGCCATTATCCGAGCCCAGCCGGCAACCAGAGCCTGTCCCTGCCCATGGCAGGCAGCGGGTGCAGGCAGCCGAGGGCAGGCCACAGGCAGGAGCACAGCGGGACGGCCGCAGAGGCCGCAGGCAGCCTGCACCGGACTGAGGCGGCCGGGATGCGCAGCCCCGGCAGCGGACGCATGCATGCACACGCAGGCTTTAGAACGAAGGCAAATACCTCTCTCCGCTCTGGCTCCAACGTCTGCCACCCGTCCTGCCTTGGCCATGCCGTGCCGCTGCCACGCTGCCCGTCCTCCATGTGTCTCGCGCCAGGACAGGCTGCCAGACCCTCCTCTCTTCGCCATGGCGGGTTTTGGCCCCTCGCTGCCTGCTGGCGCCTTGGCAGCGGCAGCCTTGCCGCTCCCGCGATGGCATGTGTCCATTAGTTGTTTTTTTTCCTCTCTCCCTTTCACAATCCGTCCTCCCCAGCCTTCTCCGCCGGTGCCTCCGGAGCCGCTCACGGTGCCAGCTCGCAGGGAAATTGGCAGCGAGCGCGGCGCAGGGATCCTCCCGCAGCTGACGGAGCCCCACCAGGCGCAGGCAGCCCTTCTGCCAGCCACCAGCCTTGGCACAGGGGGCCGGGGGGCTGCTGGCGCTTGGCAGCCCTTCCCCGGCACTGCGCGCCCCAGCCACCACCGTGGCTCTGCTGCCAAAAGCCAAACAAGGGGGAGGAAAAGGGGAAAACGGCAGGGGAATGAGCTGGCTTCGCCGTGCCCGGTGGCGGGGAACCTGCCAGGGGCTGGCTGCGGGCAGCTGGGTGATGTCCTCGTCCCGCAGTGAGGGCTCGGGAGCCTGGACACCGTGCTGGCATCGCATGGAGAGGCTCAGCTCCGTCCGTGCCCACTCGTGCCCCCATCCCAGCCAGGAGAGCCCATGCCAGGGATGGCAAGCGCCGATGCAGATCGGCTCAGGGATGCTGCGTGGCAAGCACGGCTCCGGCAGACACACCTCTTACCCAGCATCCGTCTGCCGCGTAGGGAGGCCCGGGAAATTGGGAAGGGGAGAGCGGAGGAGGGACTTCTGTCGATGGGTGGGTGGTTTTGGGGTGCCCCCCGGCCGTTTGTCACTGCACGGCCGTGCACTCAGCCTTGTGCGACACAGCGTGCCCGCCCCATGCCAAAACCCTGGCGCCAGCGGTGCAGTCGTGCCATGGCTCCATCCTGGCCAGCCATTGGCATTGCAGCCATTCCTGCCTTTCCTGGTTTTCTTCCCCAGATTCCTGGTCTTGGTGATTTTCTGAAGGAAGAAGCTGGAATGTGGCTTGAGCACCCATTGTAGTGAAGGTTCTCCCAGCAGTGATGCTGTAGGAGGGTCCCCAAGGCCAAGGAACACTGGTGGGGACAGCCAGGCATGAGGCAGGAACAGGCTGCCAGCCCAGCACCCTGCTCAACTTCACCCAAAGTAAGCAATATAGACCTACTGAGAGCTGCAGGGGTGCTGGGGCTGCCCCACTGCCCTCTCCCCAGCCCCGTGGCACAGCCTGGTGGGGCAGAGCACCAGGAGCACCAGTCAAGGAGCCGGCACACAGAGACCTGCCTGCCATCACCGTTTAACAGGTTTACCCACTAATCAGGGATACCTTTAATGGGGTTGGCAGAAGAAACCAGAAGCCTTGCATGGGGCAGGATGGGGCTGTGCACGGGTCACACTGGCTCCATCCCAGACTCCAGCCATGCTCCGGCTGTGCAATGGAACTTCCCAACCTGAGAGCTGGGATGCAGCAGCTCCTGGGGTGATGCTGACAATCTGCACCACAGGAAGAGCCTGGAGTGCCCCTCTGCCCGTGCCCCCGTGCCCCGGCCTGCCTGTGTCACACGTGTGCCTGCCATTTCCTCAAATAAGCAGCTAATCTCCATCAATCATAATTTTGTGCAATTATCATAATAGGGCCATTTTGCACTTATCCTCGCCACGTGACGCAGGAGGCACTTACAGCTCTACTTCACGCCGAGTGTCTCCGAGCTGCTCCCATCCTCGGGGAGTCCCGATGGCAATTGCATCCCCTGCAAGCCCCCAAGGACAGATTTGTCCCTCGCTTCCTGCAGTGTGGGCAGTGGCTCCAGGGGGAGATGCTCATGCGGGCAGGATGCAGGCATAGGGGGCAGTAGCAGGACCCTGTCCCCTTGATTGTGCCTTCTAATCACTGCAGCAGCCAGCACAGGGGTTAAACCCCGAAACGGGGACAGTTAATCCGGTTTCTCCCACCATATGGAACTGGCAGTCTCCCAGTTGTGCTGATGCCATGCGTGTGGCGGGGGGCATGGCCAGCAGCCCAAGCTCTGACCCCCGAACAGCCAATGGGGAGCAGATTAAGGGGGGCTGGGAGGCCCAAGGGCTGTGGGTAGGAGATTAAGTACTGGCAGATGGATGGAGATCAAATGTTTCACTCCACCTTGTTTACTATTCCCTCTTTAGCAGCAGCCAGGGACCCTGGCACAGGATCTGGTTCTGTCCCCCCCCCCCCTTGGGTTGGGTCAGGACAAGGCTGGCGACATGGTACTCACATCCATGGGGTGTCCCAGCAGGAATGGATGGGATCTTCTCTCACTGCTCTCCATCCTCACCCCAAGCAGTGCCATGGAAGCAGCTCCTGGTACCCCCATCCCATCCTACCACAGAACAGGGACTTGTAGCAAGCACCAGCCATGGTGCTCACCCCGAGCATCAAGCTCCCCATAACCCAGCGGTGTTTGTGGTGTTTACACCACGGTCGTAATTACTTTCTTCTTCTTTTTTTTCTTTTTAACAAACGTGGATGTTGCCACAAGTAAGAGTCCCAGCAGCAGCTTTCCCTCCTGGCTCTTCGGCTGCAGGATAAACTGTAATGTAATAAAAGCTTTCTGCTGGATCCATAATTAATCACTGAGCTGTGTAAAGCGGGGGGGGGGGGGAGGTGGGGGGGCAAGCAGAAAACCCTCCCGCTGGCATCATCTGTGGGGCTCATACCTAGCTGGGAGGGAGGCATCAGCTGGGGACACCCCAGTATCCTGGGGACCACTGTATCATCCCCGTGAGCCCAGCAGGAGTCCATGGGCAGGCAAGACTGCGGTGTGCCCAGCTCTGCTTTTGTGGTGTCCAGCAGCCACAGGCACTGTGTGTGATGGCACATCTGGACTGACCCCTCTCTGATGCAGCATCCCCACCACCCTGGTATGGAGAGCAGGGCTGGGCACTGAGCAGCCACAAACCTGCTGCATAAACCATACCCTGGCCATGCTCGGCACTGCCAGCGCAGCTCCCTCCCTTCCATCCCCCGGGATGGGTGGCGGTGGCCGGGTGCTGCTTGCAGCCAGGACTGAGCATCATCTCCGGGGACGTGGCCGACTCCAGATGGCCACTGGGCACCAGGTGCCGGCGCGGCAGAGGGTGGCTCGGGGTGGACATCTGCTGTTCACACAGCCAGCTGGCCCGGCAGCCTGCAGGGCCAGGGGGGAGCAGGGCCCGTCACACCCCCCCCCCCCAACCCCGGGCCGGGTCCCTGCACAGCCTGCAGGGGCTGCAGGCACAGAGGAGCATCCTGCCTGGTGCACGCACCGGTGGCTGACACATCCTGCGCACCCTGTCCCCACCAGTGCCTGGACCACCGCAGGGATGATGTCCCTGTCTGCGGCACCCCCCAGCTGGGGTTAATCCCTGCAGCCTGCAGGGGCAGCGGATGCGGGTGGCAGATGGCAAGAGCAAAAAGGAGAATGGAAAGAGGCTGGGGCGGGTGGTGGTGATGGGAGCCGGGCACATCTGCGCTGCAGCACATGGGCACAGACTGAGCTGGGAGATGGGTGCTCGCTGATGTCAGGGGCTGGCCCAGAGCTGCTGGGTGTGCTAGGACCCTCTTGCAGCAGCTCTGACTGGAGAAGCTGTGCAACGGGGAAGCATTCAAGAGGAGGGAGCTGTGCAACAGGGAGAGAGATGGGCAGTGGGGAGCCATGCAATAGCCGTACAACGGGGAGGGAGCTGTACAACAGTCATACAATGGGGAACTGAGCAATGGCTATGGTGCTGTACAACACAGAATGAGCCACGCAGTGGGAAGCAGCGTCACGGGGGTGAGACTGTGCAACAGCAAGGTAGCCTTGGGCAGCCATGCAATGGGGAAGGTAGCTGTGCAAAAGGGAGCCATGCAGTGGGAAGAGAGAAATGGGGATCTGTGCATTGGGAAGATGTGTGATGGGAGGGAGCTGTGGAATGGGGATGCCATGGGGAGCCAGGACAGAAAGCTGCTGTGGGGCCTGTTCTCCACGTGGTGAGCTCTGCACCACATTGCTCTTGCTCCTCGCTTTCCCACCTAGAAGAGCAATTGTGTGCACCCCCTGCGGCACCCGCTCCCAGTGCTCCTGCAGCACAGCGCACACAGCACGAGCGTACGGCTGAGCCGCATCCCAGCACAGCACGGGACATCCCTGCAGCCAGGATGGGGAGGCTGGGATGCGGCTGGGATGGGAAGGGAAGGGAGCACAGTGCTGCTGGGGACATCCAGCTGAGCTGCAGTGTGCCACCATGGTGGCTTCAGGATGTCTGTGCCCCACAGTGTCTGTGCCCCACAGTGTTTGTGTCCCACAGCGTCTGTGCCCCACAGTGTCTGTGTCCCTCAGTGTCTGTGCCCCACAGTGTCTGGGTCCCACAGTGTCTGTGCCCCACAGTGTCTGTGTCCCTCAGTGTCTGTGCCCCACAGTGTCTGGGTCCCACAGTGTCTGTGCCCCACAGTGTTTGTGTCCCACAGCGTCTGTGCCCCACAGTGTCTATGTCCCTCAACGTCTGTGCCCCACAATGTCTGTGTCCCTCAATGTCTGTGCCCCACAGTGTCTGTGTCCCTCAATGTCTGTGTCCCCCAGTGTCTGTGTGTCCCCGGGTATCTGTCCCCCCCAGGAGGTGCCATAGATCCAGGCCACGGACAGGTCCATCCCTCCCCTGTACCAAATGCATCGTTCGCGCCTCGCGACCGGCCCCGCCCCTGGTGTTCGGTTTGGGGCCGAATCCCCATAAAACGGGTGAGGGGCAGAGCAGCGAAACGTTGTTGCTCGGAACGCGGGGGCTGCCGGGCTTCGTTTCCGCCGGAGCGCGTTCGCTGCCGGACCGGTCCCCCGGTGCGTGGGGCCGCTGCCGCCAGGTGAGGCCCCGGCGGGGCTGCGGGAGGCAGCAGCGGGGCGCGGGGTCCGGAGGCCCGGGGCCGGGGCGAGCCGCGGCCGCTGCCTTTGGGCCCGGGGCTCCGTGTCTGCGGGCCTGCGATGGGTGCGCGGCCGGAGGGGGTGGCTCTTCGGGGGTTGCCGCCCGGTGCCTTCATTAGGCTCTAATTAAAAGGGAATAAACGAATCCTCCCGCTCGGGTGTGCAGGACCGGGGCTCGGCCGCTGGCTCCCGGTGTGTGCGGAGCCTCGGCTCCGGCTCGCTGCCGCCTTCTGTGGGTTGGGAACCATGGGAGGGGGGATTCCGTGCTGGAACTGTGAGGGGGGAGCGGGAGGGCGGCAGCGCGGTCGGGGATGGAAGGAGAATGCGGGGTGTCCTCGGGGGGGGGGATGAGGTGTGGAAGCCTCGCGGCTTCCATCTCTACTGCGTTATGGTGCTGGGAGCTGGTGTGAGCTCCTCGGCTTCCCTCTTCAGCCATGGGAGCCTTCTCTTTAAAGACTCATCTGTGCGGCCAGCACCTTCTGCCCAAGGGTCCTCTATGGCAAGCCTTATATTCAAGGGTGCTCTGGCAGAGTTTGTGCTGACGGTTATCCCTGAGCAGCAGGCAGGGAAGTGCAAACAGCCCCTGGTGCTGCCCTGTTCTGGGTGTCTAATCTGCACACATGCTGTCCACAGTAGTTCTCTGAAGTCCATAAATGCGCAGGCCTGGCTGAAGGTGCCGCTGTTTATTGCTCCATTAAATCCGGACTGGTGCTGTGGGGAAAAGGGGATGATGTGATTTTTGGAAGGCGCTGCTCTGAAGCAGCAGCTAACACCTGCTCTGGAGCCATATGGGGAGCAGGGAGTACGCCAAGTGCACTTAGCCACGCTGGCCCGGAGCATGGCGTGATCCTGGCAAGCGACTGCTTCCAATTAATGCCCCTCTTAATGCCTGGGACATTAACATCCCACCAGTGGGCTGGCCTTGGGCAAGGGTTGGAGGTTTGGTTTGGTGTAGGTTGTATACGGTGTTGGCTTTTCATGTTTTAGTCTCTACAGAGAAATGGAAAGATGTCACGTGAGCTTTGAGCTTTGTCGTGACCTGCTTTGTTTTTTTCCATCCTGATGGCGTATGTCATGAGTTCACATGGTTACCACGCTCCGGGTTTAAAACCTCTCTGTCCCCACAGATGTTTCCGCACGAAATAACAAGTTTCTTTTGCAGAAGCAGAAATTGAGGTCGATATGCAAAAGAAAATACATGCAAAGCCAGCGTCTGGCTGGAGAAATGGTGTGAATCATAGAATCAGCCAGGTTGGAAAAGACCTTTAAGATCGTCAGGTCCAACCGTTACCCCAGGACCAGGTGGATGGGAGAGCCTGTGGGGCTTGCAGCTACCTCTGTGCAGGAAAAAACAGTTGCTGCTGTGTGTGAAGCCTGAGCTGGGTTAAGCCATGTTCATCTCTTCCCTGCGTAGCTGCCAGTTGTCTATATTCTTTTGGTTCAGCTCCTCCCCATGGTGGGAAGCTGAGCTGGGAGGATGTTGGAGTTGAGCTGCTCCACTGATAGGCACTTATAAAAAGTTCTGTAAAAAGAAATATCAAGTCATTTGTGCCAGTGTCAAGGAAGCATCACGTACGCTCTTGCGGTGTGAAGTTGTCATCCTTGGGCTGTCTCCTCTTGTCATAGCGTCTCTCTGGGGATACTTCAGTGTTTAATAGCAGCCATTAGAAAGGCCGTGCTGTAAATCTCTTCCTCTCCTGCCTCAGTCCTGTGCTTTCCTCACTGCTCGCCCGTTGGTGTTGATGGCAGCCTCTGTATGCAGAGGGTGATTGTTCTTGCTGAGCTTCCAGCCAGAGCTCCACGCTCTGTGCAGAAGGGGTTGGGATTTTTCTGAGGCATCTCCTCAGTTCTCTTATTTATCAGTTCTTCCTCTCGTCTTTGGCATACCGGTGGTCTCCCCTGCAAAGTGTTCTTCTAGTCCCTGAGGCTCCTATCTGCCTGTTACATTCTTATGGGTTTTGTGCTCTGAGAGCTTTTTCCCTGATGTTGCCGTGAGATGATCCAGGTGGTGTCCAATATGATGACATGAAACTTTCCCTTTGAAAGGAGAGGGATAACGAAAAGACGGTTAAAGCACAAACGGCTGGTACTTCTCACCAATTATAACAAAAGCTTTTTGTCTAGCTTCTCCCATGAGCAGATGGGTTGATGTCATTGTGCTGTCTAAGCACACAGAATGGGTGACGTTTGTGCCAGCCGATGATCTTCCTGTAAAGGCTTTACTGGTGCTGGTACTCCTCAGCATTCCACTTTGGAGATTTAAATGCCCCTATGCATCATGTCACTGATCTCGCTCCATCCAGGTTGGGGTGATGGTTGGGCTGGGCTCAGACCAAGCTCTGGCTGCCCAAGTGGAGCCTGGTGCCATGGCTGAACTTGTCCTCATGTTCTTCCCAGCTCCAGGCACTGTTGGTACTTCCACAAGTGGTGTGCCAAGCCCTGAAGTCAGCGTTTGTGTGGCTGTGCTTTCCTGCTGCTGTTTGCTAGGAGAAACAGCTGCTCCTTGTGGACAGGGCTCCTGCTGCCTGTGCCTGATCATGAGCTGTTAACCACTTGGTCTGTCACATAAGAAAGCTTCTGAGCTGAAGCAGTGTTTGTGATGGATGACCTGTCAGGTGGGAGGCGTTGCATGCTTTCCTGTACTTAGATGTGCTATTGCTTGAAGGAAAGCTCGTGCGGGAAACAATCCTCCGCTGGGCTAAACCTCAGAGGCTTGGATTTTTGCTGTTTAACTCGAACCACAGAGCAAGGCTGCAGTTAACCAGAGTGGTGGAAAACACAAACTGAGAGCTAGGTACCATTGTAGTTATTTCACTTCTTTAAATGCTTGTCCCACTGTGTTAGAATGGCACCTCAGGTAGCCTGTACTTAGTGTCCTAGTATTACTGATTGATGAAAACTGTTTTATAATGGAAGTAAGACTGCTTTTTAGGGACAGGGAGGCTTCACAGGGAAGGGACCCTTGCCTCCTGTTCCATCTGGGTAGGGCCTAGTGCACTGGGAATGCAGCAGTCTGAAGCATAAACATTAATAATACAGTGGGTATTATTCAAATGAAGGCTGCCACTTTTCCTTTGTTGGAATAACACCCTGGGTAATTGCTGCACATACTTATCTGTTCCTATAATTGCTTTCTGCAGAATCACTTCAAAACAGGCAGTGCTGGCAGGATGCTGGTCTCCCTGCTCTTCCCCTTTCGCTGCCTCATCCGGGACTTGCCCCGTTGCAGATGGGGGCTGCATGGGCAGAAGAGGTCTGGCTGTCCCCACAGGGGTCTGCAAACTGCACGGGCATCCTGCAGCCATGACGTTACCCCTGTCTTCACTAGGGCTTTGGCTTTTGGTGATAAAACTGCCATCATTGACCAAAACGGTGAGCACACTTACAGGGACCTTCTCAGCCAGAGTCTGCGCTTGTCCCAGGAGATCTGTAGAGCTCTGGAGTGCTCCAGCAGGGACTTGAAGGAAGAGAGGATCTCATTTTTGTGTCCCAATGATGCCTCGTATGTGGTGGCCCAGTGGGCTTCCTGGATAAGTGGGGGGATAGCAGTGCCCCTTTACAAGAAGCACCCTGCACGGGAACTGGAGTATGTGATTCAGGACTCGCAAAGTGCTCTAGTCATCGCAGCAGAGGAGTATGTGGGGAAAATAGCCCCCAGTGCTGAGAAGCTAGGGGTCCCTGTTCTGCCACTTCTCAAGTCTCGTAGTGGTGGATCAGCAACTCATGCACCATTGGAGGAGGGTCTCTTGACAGCCTGCTCCTCGTGGAAAGACAGAGGAGCCATGATCATCTACACTAGTGGGACAACAGGAAGACCAAAAGGCGTCCTCAGCACCCATGAGAACGTGCAAGCTGTGGTGAGTGCTACTTTCCTTCTGCAGAGCTCGTGGTACATTACAGAGGTCTTGGCCTTCAGAGGTGTTTTGTTGGTTGGAAACCCCAGAGCACAAGACATTTTAGCACAGCTGAATTTCTACACAGGGCTGTGGGACTGTATCTTGAAGGTCCTCAACACGTCTTAAGGCGAACACGGAAAACTGAGGACCTAAATCTTGTCCTTCTGCTATTGCTGATGTGCAGCTGTAGCAGGGGCAGAGGGGCTCTCTCACTGCTTTCCTGGAAAGCACAAGGAGTGAGACCAGTTTTAGAAAGACTGCTTTCTTTGCAGATTGCTTTTCTTCACTGTGACTAGGAAAGAATCTTTGCCCCTGTTTGGAATATATTAGCCCAGTACAGTACTGTGTGAAATCTGTGCATTATTCAGCTATATATCCCCAAGGCAAAAAATCCATTAGCTCTCTGAGCCAAAAGGAATTAAAAGTTTGAATGAGCCTGCTGACTACCTCACCGGTTAGTTATCACTGCCTGCAACGGATAGACTCATGCCATTAGGGAAAAAGGGCAGGGAATACAGCATGCCTTACAGATACCTCCCAAGAGCTTACGTTGTTCTGGGTGCTCAGATACTGCAGTGTTGGGAGTGGAATGAAAGCTTTGATGGATAGAGCCAGGGCTTTGCTATATTGGGCAAAGAATCTCTTCCCTTACAAATATGCTGATCATTTGGGAGGTGGCCTGAGCAGTCACCATCTTTTGTGCTGTCTTGCAGAAAGCCTAAAACCTGCTCCCTGCATGTGAATGGCATGACTAAATTCCACTGTTCAAATGCTTTATTATATTTAGATGCCTGGAAATAAGCTTTTCAGTTGCTAATGCTGGGCTCTGAAAGCCGTTATTTACCCGGAATCCTGAAGTTTAACATTTTAGATAATCATCCCTTCATAGCAGAGTGTTTTAGAATATATACTCTATGTAGTATTAGTATATTGATAGTCCAATATTTTGTATACGGACGTGAAGCTTACTTTGTTTATCAGACAGTGATTTTCTGCTCCTCTAAAAGCCCAGTGTCATCAGTGTCCAAATTATGTCAACACAGGTCTGAGAAAATTAGGGTGTTTATTATAATTTCTGCCAACCCTGCAGGTGCAGCAGCAGGCTAGGAATTCTGTAGGCCCTGCTTAAAATCACTGTTGACTATTTCTCATCAATGAGGAAGGATTTTGATATACATGAAGACGTGTACTGACAAGAAGCAGAAGATGTTATGATGGGAATTTTGCTCGTGCTGACTCTAAAGGAAAGATGTTTGCGCCCAGGCATCATTCCAGGGGGTCTGGGATTTCTGCTGCCAGCTGTGGCCAGGGGATGTGGGGTCTGGATACCTCGGGTTTTTCAAAGCAGTGAGGGTCTTTCCTCCTGCCTTAACACTGGGTTGTGTGTTTTTTTCCTGCAGACCACAGGGCTGGTTGAGAAATGGGAGTGGAGGAAGGAGGATGTTATTCTGCACGTGCTGCCTTTACATCATGTCCACGGGGTGATCAATAAGCTCCTCTGTCCTCTCTGGGTGGGAGCGACATGCATCATGTTACCCGAATTCAGCGCACAGATGGTAAGCCTGCAGGAATGGCATGTTGTCTTTGAAATTCAGCAGCAAGACCCCATGCATTGTAATTAGAGCAACTTTGGAAATAAGTTCTTAAAGAATTCCAGCTTCTTTAGCCACTGGCTGCATGCGGGCCACAAACTGCCTGTTAAAAAGTGGTTTTAGTTGGACACAGTCCGGGATAAACGCGCTCTTCTGGAGGCTGCAACTTGTTTAAACGTGACATACGTAATCATAATGCTACATTGTCCTTTCTAATGATGCTGAGGGTCTCTGACTGAAGGTGGGCCCTTCTACGTACATACCAAGAGTATCTGCACCTAGAATAAGGGTTGTTAATTCTCTAGTACCAGGAAAGGTGGAAATAACTGGATTTTTTTCTTTCTTGTTAGCGGTGTGCTGCTTGAAGATGTGCTGATTGTTGCCATCTTTAGTAGCTTGTGTTTTTCCCTTCCAATCATTTGTCTTTGGTGTTTTGTGTTATGTTACATGACAGAACATAGTCTTTGCAGTTTATTGCAGCCCAAGTAAGAGAAGTGCATTTACTCATCACTTGCATGGAAATATTGCCCTTTCTCTGCAGAAAGCAAGTGTTAACAGGGAGAGTTTGCAAATTGAGAGCTTCTTCCAGCCTCACAGGAAAGGTGGCAAGAGGGAAGCCTTACTTGAATGCAATAGAGACACACTTATAATGGTGTTTTCTGGCTGAGCCGGTCCCAGTGCTCTGCTTCTCGCCTTGCTGGCTGTGGTGGCAGGGAGCTGACCTGAAGAGAAGAATAAGAGGGGCTAGAATGAGGGCAACCAAAACCAAAGTAGAACAGTTTCAGCAGTTACCAGTCCCTGTGGTCCAGTCCTGCTCATCTACATCTTCCAGTGTCATGTGTTGTGTGGGAGACATTGAAGTCTGCACCGTCACTGTTAAGAGAGCAATTGGCATTTTGGGTGCTGCTGCCACCTCATAGTGGAAAAGAAATGTGTGCTTTTGGCACAGAACTGCCTGGGAAGGGGAAAAGAGTCTGTCAGGCCTGTGCTTTGTAACTAAACGGGCTGCTTTACCTGTTTATATTTATCCGTGTGCTGAGAGGCCTTGTCACACTGAAAGGACAAAGTGCAAAGGTGTGAGTTGCACCCAGAAGACTGACTGCTGCTGTTGGGTGAGGGTGAGTTTGTGCTCCTATGTGAGTGACTGCAGGACTGTGTGATTCTTCATTGCTTATTTCTGTTGCTTAGAGAAGCAACCACAGAAAATGCATGCTTCCTTTCTTGTTTCAAGATGGCCCTGACACCTCAACACCCACTTGCTACTGAGCACTGATCCTTCAGGGAGGAAACAGCCCCATAACCCTGGAGGGGCAGCTCTGCAGTTGCATTTCCAGAGTAAATAGATAGGATGCTGCAGTAGAAATAAGTCAGGAATGTCCCCTGGCAGCTGTAGCCAGTGCTCTCTCTTTGATGCTCAGTGCCAGATTGTCTTTCCCCATCTTTAGTTTGTCACCCCAAAAGCTCCAGGTGCAGCAAGGGATGTGTGCCCCACCAAATATGGAGTTTGGTGATGCTGGTGATGGTGCTGGTAGCCTGGAAGCAAATCCAAGCCCTCTGGAGGGCGCGTTTCTCCACATCCTGTGCCACCGGTGATTGATTGTCCCTTACACCCTTGTGTTTTTCTCTGCTCTCTCCTCGACATCTGCAAATCAATGAGCTGATGTTGAAGGATGGGTTCAGGTGCCGGGGAGCGGGACACCCTGCCTGCCTCCTCTGATCAAAGCTCTCCCCCGGACTTGACAATCAAGGGCAGGCGGGGACAGTGCTGGAGGCGTCTGGTTGACCCTGGAGGTTGAACTTGGGCAGGGAGGTCAGGATGGCAAGTGTGCCAGCCGCGGCGAGCGCTGTGCTGAGGGCTCTCAGGTGCACATGGGCTCTGAAGGATGTCATTTGCCTTTCTATTTTTTTTTATCCCTTATTCCCTTTATTTTTCCAAGGGCTTCCCCTGGGAGCTGAAAGTGGTTTGATCGACACTACAAAGAAAGCACATGAGGGTAAATAAGGCTTTCTTGCGGAGTTTAATGCAAGCTGCCTTTCAGTTCCAGTCTATTTTCACCAGCTGTTTACAAAATGCCCTTTGCTACTGAAATCAGCTTTCAGAAAAGCAGCGGAGTTTCGGTGGAGGATTTTTGCAGAAGGAGCCCGAGTCTTGCTGCATGCTGCTTTTCTTTTCCCTTCGCTGCACCTTGAGAAAGCAGCCAATTATAGTGTGATATAAAGAAACTCGAATGGCAGCTAAAACACTTGACAGGCTGATCAAAACAAGGCTAGGAACTTACTCTCAACCTGCTGCAGACATATTTAGCCTTGAGTGATACTGGCAAAGGTTCAAGAGAAACCGCAGCAGCATGCCCAATGTGTGTTTGGTTTCTAATCACTAACACTTCATTATACAAAATAAATACTTTATTATTACAGTGTTTATTAAATTACATAATTTGCGGCATGCCTTATAGTCATGGATGCAGACGCTGGTCTGGTTTCAGTGGTAATAATGTTCATTTTTTCCTTAGTTAAAGACATTTCGAGCCCCGGACCAAGGTTTGCTTGTTGCTCCCTGCAGTGCAGTGTTAGGAGGAGGCATCTTTCAGGCCCTTCCACCTGCTTTTGGTAGCTGTCCAAGGAAAGGTTAAAAATCAAGACTGTGGAGTAACCCCGGTGTCCTGACCAACATCCACTTTCTTACTAAAACAGCATCTGATGTCTGCAGCTGCATGCAAGCTACTGCTGAGGCCACAAGGGCTCATTAAAGTGTATTGGGATGCCTCAAGCATGAAAGTTGCTGCATAAAATCAGGCTCTTTTTATTAAATGAGGACATCCATTACTTTGCACTAGCTACTGTACATGTTATAATTCACTTTATAGCACCATCTGTTAAGACTGTCTTGCTTAAGCTTTTCGTGGCATCATTTTATTATAAGTTATTAAAAAATATGGCTGCATCTATTAATCATTTATTAATAAAGGGTTTATAAATGGGCCCTTAATTTCCAGTGTTACAGTCTACTTGCATGTGACATGTTAATTTCTCTGGTGTGTGTACTCCTCGGGGTGCAGTGTGTCTTCCCAGGGAGCCCTTACTGGGCTGCTGCCTGCAATCCTGCCTGGAGACAATGGGAGCAGCACCCAGCATTCCTGCCTGTCCTTCTGGTGCTTCGGAATGCTTGGGAATGCCAATGCTGATCGGGGGGGAGACATTTCAGCACTGTTGTGGGCATGTGGACTTGGAACAGGCATGAGAACAGCAGTGAGCCTGAAAGTGTGTTCCTCCCGGCAGCTGTGTGGGGCAGGGGTGGCTCTGATGTTGGTTTTGGGTGTTTTTAATTCAAGAGTGAGAACTGAGAGGGCAGAAACTTCCTTCAGAGCCAGAGCAGGCTCTGCAGCATAAGTGTCCTTAATCCTCCCATCGTTTCTTCCAAGCTGAGTTTTTACTTCTCCAGCTGCACTGTCCCTGTTTGCAGGCAGCCAGCATTTCCCAGCTGCTTCTGAACCTGTTTAAAATGCCTGCTTTTTTGCTTATGCAAGAACAGAAAAATTTAAAGATGCTGCATTTGTACATTTTTTTGTGCAAATTGGCGGCCTGAGGAGAAGACAGTAATGCCTCTGCTTAAGGAAGGAGTGCAAGGTGAGCCGTTTCCTCCTGGCCTTTTGAAGGCCCCTGTGAGCACTGGGGTTTGCACCGAGCAGGCACTACAGTTTCCATTCACTAGTGACTCCCTCTTTCCATCTCCCTTCCCTTCATCAGTTCAGTGATGGCCACTAAGACTGAGCACACCCTGCGGTGTGACTGTTAGTCGATGGGAACGTCAGTGAGGTTGGAGAGTTTGACCCAGGGGAAGCCAGGCATCCCCTGTGCCCATGCTCTTGCTGTGACAATCACACATTGATGGTCCCATTCCAGATGGACACCCTGTGAACAGGACCCTTTCAGAGTGAGTCATGAGGTCAGTGTCTGCTTTGCAGGATCCTCTGCTGAAGGCTTTTGGCTGAAGTGGATCCACTCTGAGTGGGAACAGCTTCTCTTTGTCTTGGACCACCTCTGATCTTGCCTCAAGATGTTCTAATAGCAAAAGGCTCCTTGTCAGCATTTCGTATTGATAAACATGAGATCAGATCCCAGGAGGTCTTTTAGTCTTAAGTGTGGAGTAGGAAATAGAAGTGTTCAGAAACATGAAGGAAAAAACCTTGCTCTGATGAGTGTTGGGGGAAGCATATAGAAATCTCAGCTCTGTGTGACCTAATTGTGGCGTGTTCTGCCTGCTTGGCTCTGCTGGGCAGGTTTTGAGCTGTGGTGAGCTGCCTGCAGAATGACAACACAGTCTGTGCCCTGCAACGGATTCCACGATAAATATGCCAAGATGCAGATTTACTGCCCTGAAGTTCCAAAAGGAGCTGTTGTTTTGGTGCCAGCGTTACTGCATGTCTGACTTAAGGTGCCTCCGAGGATCAAGCCCTTTAAAAATCATACCCGGTTTTATAATGTCACGCACAAACCCATCAAAATTGTTAAGCTTATTTGGATCCTGCTTCTAGGGAGATGGGAATGATGGGTGCCCAAAGCTAGCATGTGATTTGGGACTATCTGTGAGTGTGCTGTCACCTGTGGCAGCTTTTCCCCATGGTGGGAGCGTGCCCCAGACCTGATGCTCACCAAGGATGTGTATGAGGTGTTGCTCCAGGGTTGCTGCTGTGTCGTATACCCCTGACTTTCTCGTGAACACCAGCAGCTTGTGCTACATCTGGGAGCAAACTGTTTGTCCTTGCTGCTGCTGTTGTCTGTGTGAACCAGGCTGGGTGCTGATGCTTTATACCTTTGCTGGTCTGTGCAGGGAGATCTGTGGCTCAGCAGTCACTGTTGCCTCCGGGAAGGAGAAGCATGCAGCGCAGTGAGCCTGTCCTCTGTATCTGTCACTTATGCAAACATCACTCTGGGCAGCTCTTTTGGTTTATTTTTAAAAGAAAAGCAAATGCAAGCAGGGGAGTCTGATCTCCATCAACCAAGCACTGCTAAGATGCTGCTGGTAGCATGCTGGGGATTGTGTCTCCCATCCGGTTTCAGCTGGAGAAAGGCAATTGTCTTTTCATCCGTTAATGGGAGGCTTCAGGGGAGTAATTTTATTTCAGACTCAAAGACGAGTCGGTGGAGGGAGGAGGAGGTCACTAGTGAATGGATTATGTTTGATCACTTCTTGCAGACCTGGCTTTGAAAAGTTAGAGATTTTCCTTCCCGTCTCCCCAGATCTGCCGTCTGTCCTCAGCATCTGTTATGGAGTAATGTCTTTTGATGTGTGTGGGGAAATATAAAAAATGGAACCAGAGCTTGTCATATTTACTTATATTACCAGGTCCCAGGGAAAGCACTTGCTCCTTTCAGTATGCCTACAGCATAGGAAGGGTTTAAAAGCTTCAGCCTGGAATGCAGAGGGGCCATCAAACTGCACTGATGAATAAATGATTAAAATCAGAGTCATGCAGAGCACAAACAGTTTGGGGTTATAACAGACATGAGACAAAGCCACCAAGGGCCCAATTTCCCTTTGAAGAGGAGAATGATTCTCTATGTATTGCTCACCAAACATCCGTGGCTCAGTCCTTAGGAGAGAGAGGAGCTCTCCCCTTGGTGCTCTCCCATCTCATATCGTGCCCATCTGCCTTTGTTGGGGATAAACTGGCATCCCTTTGGTGCTCCTGTAGAGTTACAGGAGCTTTCTGACCTCGGTGTTAGGCCTAGGGCCTCACCAAGCAAGGAGCTGGTTTGATTGCAGCTGTGTTACTGCCTGTTGCTCTCACAGACACTAAAAATTGCAGGCAGCCCTTTTCCTCACTTGTGGTGCCACCCACATGGCAGTGATCAATGTAAAACACAAACCCATCTCCTGATCAAAAGGGAAGTAAAGGGATGATTTAACCTTGCATTAGGGGTATTGTTAGTTTTGAAAAGGCTTTAAAAAATTCAATAACAACTGAGAATGATACAATAATTTTATAGAAGAGAGGAGCTGTTGTAGCTGTCAATAGAGGTAGCAGCACGGGTTGTCTATTATCGGCTTGGGGTCTGATGGGAAAATCTATGCTGGACTTTCACTTCCTTTTTAGCTTTTGTCTGCATCTCTTCTGGCTGCTTCTGGGAGTCCTGTATCAGGCAAAGTCTTGCAGGTTTTAATGTACAGATGGTTGTTGCCATCTTCTCTTCTTTGCGTTAGAAGATGGCCAGGTGTTGGTAGATTTGGTGTTTTCTGTCTAGTTCATAACATTGTGCATCTCCCTTTTCTCCTCTGCACTTGCATCTCTTGCTTCAGGCCACCTCAGCAGATTTGGAAGCTGGTTGGGAAGGTTGCTGTATGTAGTGATCATCTTTCGGAACAGCTGCCATGTTCCTGTGTCCTTGTTCACCATCATGCTATTTGTGTGCTGGAAGGAATACGTGGGAAAAATCATAAGCCGTGTCTCACTGGGGTTGTTTTGTACCTACTGGTGTAATCTTCTCCTTTTTTTTTCATTTACTGATGACAAAAAACCCACTGGCCAGTCCTTGGAATTGCCCAGATACGCTTTTGTGCAGTGGGAGGGGAAGAAAATCAGGAATGTTGGGATGATGGGAAGGCTCTTGGGAACAGAAAGTCTCCCACTTCTTTTGCTGGCTCAGGCAGCCCTGTCCTGTAAGCCTGCCCTGGCCTTTTGCTGCTGTTAATTGCTGGTGGGAAGCTGTTCCTATTCTTGCTTTCTTCCAATTAGAAACTTTTTGTTCCTAACCCTTAAAAGGAATCTTGGTCCATCTCCTGAACATTCCATTGGAATACTGGGGCTTCCCTTGTGTCCGGTGAGTGCTTGGTGCAAAGTCTGGCAGCCCTGGCATGCAGTGCTGTGTTTGCTTCCAGAATCCATAGGTTTTTAAAAGCACTTGGAGCACTGAGGTATGAGGTGAGCAAAATAAAATGAAATGATGGGCTGCCAATACCACATGTAATTGATGTGGTGACAGTGACACATGGGATAACAGAAGGGGGAGATTGATTGTGTTGTTCTAAGCCTGACAGTGTCAGAGGATGCTGTGTGCTAGAAGGGCAAAGCTGGCCTCTTGCTATGAGCCTGTCCAAGCCCCAGGATTGATTGATTAGTCCCAAGTAACGAGACTTTCCCAGATCCTTCTCTCAAACCGTGAAGTTATAGTTATAAAACAGAAATAGCTGTCACAGCTGGCCAGGCAGTTACAAGCCCTCCGGACAGCTCAGGGGCTGCGGAGAGCCTGGGGCTGCCAGCTTTGTACCACAGCTCGGTGCTTAACACTTTTAAAACACATGGGTAAGATCCAGATTTGGCTGAGCAGGAGCGGAGCAGGTGGAGATGTTTGGCTGTCAGCACATCACCCCGGCAGCTGGTGGCACAAATCCAAAGGCAGCTGCTTATCTTCAGGAAGAGGCTGTTGCTGGGGTGAGTTGGGCTGACACAGAAAAAGCTGCTCCTGTGTTTGGAGTGGTGGTAGTGAGGGTTTTATCTAGAGCAGGAGTTGATCAGGCGTGTGAGGACGGGGCTCTGGGGTGCAAGAGAGATCCGCTGTGTTTTGGAGTGATTGGTTTGGCATTTTTCAGATCCAAATCCATGTGAAAATAACTGCTGCATGGACAGACTGGAAGTCTGCCTGTGCTCCCAACAGCTGCTCTGGACTTGTGAAGGCCAAAACAAAAAGCACGCAGCCGGGGTCAAACAGCCCTGAGCATCTGTCTCCCTTCAATTCTTCCAGCACAGTCCTGCTCCCTGCTTGCTGTCATGCATCTCTGCATGCCCAAGGCAATGGCTCTCAGGAGCTTCAGGCTGAGGAGAGTAGATCCATGTATATCGCCACTGGCACTGGAAAAGGTCCTTGTCCGTTCTGCTGCCTCAAATGGGAAAGATACTGGGGTACTGAAGAGAAAAGGATGCTTGGGGAACTGTGTCTGAAGAGTGATGGTCCCTATGTAATCCCCTAGGAATAGCTTCGCTGGAGCCTTAATCATGGATCACACATGGTTTAGTGGTGGAGCTGGCAGTGTGGGGTTAATGGGTGGACTTGATGATTTTAAGGTCTTTTCCAGCCTAAAAGATTCTATGATTCTATAAAGAGGCTGGGAAAAGTATGGTAGGGTTAGGTCCTTCTTAAATGCAGTTATGCCTATTCCAGCTTGTTTTATCATTCTGGTAGGTGAGGTTTCTGCAACGGGGTGTGATATTCCCTCTCTAGGCATCTCACCCATTGGTCTAGGCAAATCATGTTCCTCCTCTGTTTTCCCTGATGCTAAGGGGATCTCGTAGCACTCATGTGCTAGCTCCCAGCATCTCCGGGTGGTTTCCACCTTATGTATTTGTCTCACCCCATTGAGGACCATCTCCGGGCTGGGTGGTAGCATCAACTCCCTTCTGTTTGGTCGGCTGGTGCCTTTGTTGGATGTGTCCTGATCTATTAAGAATAACAACATGGTGGTGGTGGTGTTTTTTAGGAGCTGATTGTTCTGAAGCGGTGGAGTGAGGGACGCAGGAGGAGGCGGCACTGGCGCAACCAAGTAGAAAGTAATGAAATGGAGCCTGAGTGAGAAGGACGGAGGGAAAAGGGGCAGAATGACAGCATGAAGGAGAATCACTTGTTCACCTTCAATCAGTTCCTGCCTTTTCTCGTGGTCACACGTGCCTGTGTGCAGCTGAGCGTGCACGGGCAGGGAGGGGAGAGGCGGCACGTTGTCAGGAGCTGTTAGGAAATACATTTGTCAACACCAGGGCATGGACCAGAGTGAAAGGAAGGAGGTGGCTGTCACTGTAGCCTTTTATGTATTGATGGTTTTGTTTTGCTCCTGTCTTGGGAAGAGCTCACCTAGGGGGCAGAGTGGGGAGGTGTGGAAGGAATGGGCCCAATTGCAGTATTTATGGCTCTCACCCATTGCTGACTGCTCCCAGGTGGGGATGCTTGGCCAGGGCAGCAGCCAGGGTCACTTTGTCTTCAGCCTTCCGCCAGCAGAGCCTGCTCCTGGAATTTGCCTCCATTTGTAGTTCCAACAGATTAGCAGGAGTTACAGCTGGAAAACATCTGTCCCATAGGGACCACTCCTCTTGGGAAGAGTGCGGTTGGTGTGGTGGCCCTCCTGGCTAACTGCTGTCTCCTTCCTGTAGCTGCTTTACCTGCAGTTTCTGATGGATGATCTGAGCTTGCCGAGAGCATGTCTGTCTGCACCAGCTCATCAGAAGATGACCGTTTTCACTGCAGTGGAGTCTCACTCCCAGTTCCAGTGCATGATCTCTCTCTTCCCAGCCCTGCCATTTGTCTTAAAAGCATTTCTCCCTTAAATGTTTGAGTCTGTGGGATCCTAACTGTCTTGTGTTCTTCATATGTGGCTTAGTGTCTTTCCAAATAATAGCTGCGTGCTTGGATAAGCTAGTGGCTTTGTGTAGCCTTTCGAAGAGCTGTGCATATTAAGGGAATTAACTGATTCTGCCACAAGTTTAAGTCTTTGTGAGCAAATTCTTGGTTGTACAAAAAAATGCCATTTCCATCATCTAGTGCTCATTGTGCGTGAAAGCAGATGGGTGATCTGCTGGTGGGATGAGAGAGTTGAATATTGTGCTTTGGGCAATAAGGGCATGATGAAGGTTGGGAGTCATTATTCTGGGCATGGACCAGGTGCACACAATGGGCTTCCTGTTGTTTGTGCTTTCTAGAAGTCTCAGACAGCAGAGGTTTGGCTGTGACCAGCCTGGGGTGGCTTTGTTTTGGACAAGCCTGTTGTGTTCCTTTACCTCAGCATCCCCTTGCAGCCTATGAAGGAGCAGTGGTGGAGCTCACTGCCCTGTGAAGCATTTGCAGAGTCCTCATTTATGAACCTCTTCAGAGGTGCTGAGGAGTCACTGACAGCGCTGACGGTCACTTCCCTCTAATGTCTACATTGAGGTGTATTTTTATACATGTATGTTCCCTTCCTTTCTAGGTTTGGAAGAAGCTTCTAAGCTCCCAAGCTCCCCGAATCAGTGTCTTCATGGCAGTGCCCTCTATCTATGTCAAGCTGATAGAGTACTATGACAACCATTTCTCTCAGCCACAAGTCCAAGATTTCGTGCGTGCCTTTTGCCAGGAGAACATCAGGTAGGTGGTCAGTGCAGGGGCTGGGCTGGGGCTGCTGGTGGCTGGCTGGCTCCGTGGTGGATCTGACATGTCTGCTTTTCAGCATCACCTCTCTGCAGTGCTTGGCTGTTGTGCTTTAGTGTCTCTTTGACAAGGACAAGGGTGACATTATTTAATTATAAGCCACTCTTGCATGGTAAAGCCAGAAGGGGTCTGCGTGCTTGTTGTATGTGTCACCCTACATAACACAAGACTGAGGACTTTGTGCTGCAACCCAAGCTTGCACTACAGTATCTCTTTTAGGAGGCTGTCCTATCTTAACATAAAACCCATATCAGACAGAGAATCTTCTGTATGTGAGGAACATCTTTGCTACTGGTTAAAAGGTTTCGAGGGCTTCTGTCTTAAGATCTTACGCAGGAGCAGGCTATATGTAACTCTGTGTTAGACTACAATTCCCCAGAGCACAGGTAATCTTGAATACTCTCTTACATGGGGTTTCCTTGCTCAGGTTAATGGTGTCAGGCTCGGCAGCCCTGCCTGTGCCTGTCCTGGAGAAGTGGAAGAGCATCACTGGGCACACATTGCTGGAGAGGTATGGGATGACTGAGATTGGGATGGCGCTTTCTAACCCTTTGCATGGAGTCCGTGTCCCAGGTACGAGTCTCTAGAGAGTGCACATTGTTTGGAGGCATTTGGCTGTGAAGTATTCTTGTCTTTTTTCATCACAGAGAATAAACACCTAATCACCATTTGTCATGTTTGAGGAGCAGGCTACAGTAGGAATGACGATGGTAGGGGAATTGGCCTTGGGAAGCCAGGTAGGGGATAGGGGTGCATGGGTAGTGGCTGATGGGTTTCCCTGGGATCACTGATCATGGTGGATTGGCAAAGCTGTGTGTGCAAAGCTTGCCGTGGTGCATGCTGACCTGAGCAGCCAGCCTGGTTCTATCCAGGAGGCAGAGGCCATATTGATGCTTTATTATTCCCAAAGTCTTAGCAAGCTCAAGCACTGTGATGGGACTGCATCATCGGCTCCTGCTCTCTGGGGTTGTATTTATGTGTGGTGTTGACGCAGGGTTCTCCACAAAGCAGTTCTTGTCCAACTGATCAGTACTGAATACTTAAAATAGGATGTCTGCTCACTCTTATTTTAGTGCATGTTTCTTGGCTCTTCAGGAATTAGAACTTGTCACACCTCGTTGTACACTGTGGTTCTGTTCTCTCCTTGTCTTCCCTCACTTCTCTTAGCTACACTTCATGCCTCCTCTCAATATCTGTACTTTATGTAACCTACCCAGAAATTGATCTGAAACATTCAAAATATGAAATGCCCCCACCCTCCCTTTGGTTAAAAACGTGGCCATCTGTCTGCCAAGCAACCCAGCCCACCACTATGCCACCTTCTCCCCACACAATGTCTGCATATGCGTGGCACCATATGCATCATCTTGGTTTCCAGTGTCTTGGGGGATCAGTGCTACCCAGGGGGCTGTCCAGGGCATTGTGGCTTCCCACAGCACCCCATGGGATGCAGAGGCTGTGCCCCTGCAGAGATTGCACAGGGTGAGAAGCTATAGCTTCCCCACACTGGCTTCTCAGGTTGAGAACAGGTCAGGGCTAGTGTGAAACACAATCTGTAGTTTACTTTTGCAGAGTAACTGTCATTCCCCTATCCCAGCTCAGCCAGTCTTCCTTCAGAAGCCTCAGTCCTGCAGGCAGGAGAGAGAAGCAGACAGGGAAACAAAATTCCCACCTGCATGAGCTTGAGCTCTCCGTAAGCCCCATGCACTGGCTGATGGTGCAGAGATCATTTGAATGTCTATATGCCATGGTTATACTTGCTTTTCATTCGTCTTCAGGAGGAGAAATGAGTGGAGGCTCTAGAAATTTCCCAGGAGACAAGAGGAGAAAAGAAGTAAGACTGAAAGTAACATAGTCAAGACAGATGCTGACACTCAGAAAGGCAGCTTCTATTTCAGAGCTGGGTGGCAGAGGTGAGCAGAGCTGGGGAAGAATCCCTGAGGGCACCAGGGTCTGCAGAGGAGGTGGGAACAAATCCTCTCATGCAGCTACAAGCAGAGGGTCTGTGGGTAATGACTGTCTGACTGTCATTCCAGCCACTGTCTAGGGGCTGCTGCAGCCCTGAGGGGGGGAGAGGAGCATCTCACAAAGGTGTGAATCAGTGAGAGACCTTCCAGAAAGAAGTCTATAATTGAATAGGCTTGATTAATTTATTTCAGGAAGTGTCAGCTGGGAAGCAGATGGGTGAAGCTGAGGCGTTATTTACTGGAGCCTTGAAAAAGCTTTTGATATACTACCCCATTAGAGGCTGGGATGTAAGGTCACCAGGTAGCACAGAGTGCCCAGTGCAAGAGAGTCAACAGAGTTAAATGCAATGATGGGCTGGGAACAGAGAATAGGTAGGAGGAGGAGTTAAGTGTCTGGAGAAAAGACCTCAAATAGCACTGATAGGTGCTAGGCAGAGGTGACCTCAGACCTGCAGCCTGACCAAAGCAATTACTAGCTGTATTTTGCAAAAGGAGCACCACAGGCATGGCATTTTACCTTGCAGGTAACTCCAGGGATCCTCACACTTGCCAGGGGATTTCTCCTGCAGTGGAAGCAGCACACATCCTTCTCTACTGCTTCGTGAGCCTCTGAGGAGAGATCCTGAGGCTTCCCTTGCCTTCTTCCACCCACTTGGTGTGGCTGGGGAAGAGTTGAGTCCTTGGAGCCTGCCCATGTCACCACTGGTGTCTGGCAGTGTGACATCATTCTCCACCCACAGCATAGGTCTGAAGGGTCGTGGGCTTTAATTTCCAGAAGAAGAAAAGATGAAAGATTTGAAAGATAAATGTTTGCTTGTATATGGTTAAAACCCTGTTTAAAATGCCTCTGTTTTCACCAGCTCTCATTCTAATCCCCCTGGTGCTGTTACTGTGAAGGGAGATGAATAATTCATGGATGGAGAATGCCTCACTGGGCCTAATCACCACTTTAATTGGAGGTTTAGATCAGAGGCAGCTAATAGCTCCTACAGCGGGGACTCCGTGTATTGTTGACAGTGAGATCGTTGAGTGCCTTATCGTTGGCCTGTTTCAATTCTCTCAGGACACCACTGCACATAACAGCATCGAGGTAACCAGATACCGAAGGACACAGACTGCAGGGCCAATTAAATTTATCTGGGAAGAGCTGACAACTTTTTTTAAACAGAGGAGAACTGGTGAAAGAATAATAGTGTCACTCCTTCCTGACTGCAGCCTGGCTGGTGTCGGCTGAGCTGACACCACAGGCATGCTGCCAGCATTTCTTAACATTCAAATTGGAGATAGCTGGGAGGGAGAGAGAGGGGAAAGAGCAGGGATTTCTTCCCAGTTTCCCCTTGGGATCATGGCTGGGGCACTAAAGGAAGTGAGTGCTGAGTGTAGACCCCCTCTGATCCCCCGTGGACTGCTAGGTGAAGCTAGGACTTCCAGTGTTGTTCCTTAGGGAACAGGCTCAACCTTCTGGTGACTTGTTGAAGTCTGCATGGCATGTATCTTGATATAGTGGATGGGCCTGAGAAGCTCTAGTCATTGTTTTTGCATGAATTTTATTAATGCTCTCGGGTTCATGTAGCTCTAATCAATGTTGTGAGCATTTTCAGCCTTTGCAGATGTTGATTTCCAGGTTTGTCATTTTTCCTAAATACCAGAAAGCCTTTTCCAGACTGAATACAAGGAGACAGCTCTCTGCGAGTGACTTACTCCATGTGTTAGTTTTGCATTAGCCAAGTAGAAAATAAGTTGATGGAGCTGTATTTGTAATTGTGATCTGAAACACTGTGAGGGGGACATGTTGCCTTGTCTATGTCTTCAGCTTTGGCAGCACTGGGCTAATCTTTGATATTTCATTCTCCAAGACTGAGACTGGAAGTGGGCACTAGTCATTGAGTCCTATTGCCTGGGAATCAGTCACGTTCCTTCACTGAGGTCAGTAGCTTCCATACAGGGAAGGAGCATCTTCCAGGAAAGCATCCATCTGATCTTGATTTGAAAGCTTGCAGGGATGGCAAGTCTGTGAGAGCCCGTGTTGGTTCGTTGCACTGATTACTGCTCGCTCCATGAGCGTTATGAGACTGACTTTGCAGAATCTCCCTGCTATCCCTTGCCACGTGTCACAGGCAGGTTGGAGGCTGTTCACACAAGGCATTTTTTGCACTGGAGAAAATATTCCCATAGAAATCTAGAAGGTGGCTTCATAAGCTTGGCGTGTAAACATTTAGGGTTTTTCTGTGCATTGTTACATGCTTTGAGTCCTCCTGGAGCTTACCATGGCAGGTACCAGACTGTTTTAGAATACATAAAGACCTTGGCAGGGTACCTCAAGGCATTTCTTCTGGCTCATGCTTCTTCCTCACCCTCCTGTAGTCCTCTGTCTCTGACTCCTGGCAGAGTCTGCCCATGGAATGAGAGCAGCCCAAGTGATGCTTGTCGTAAGAGAAGGACCTGGATGCATGTTGGGTGACCTGAATGCCAAAGCCAATTTCAAGCTGAACAGACACGCATCGCAGAACTGCCACGTCGCTTTCTGTTTATTTCTTGCCAGATTTGCTAATTGTTCGGGTAGTTTCACTGCAATAAAATCTCACTCCCTCATAGCCCATCTGCTCTTAGCTGATCCTGCAGGGATGCCATAAATCTGGGCTACGATGACATATCTATTTCCATGGCAACTGACCAATGTAGCAAACAAAATCATGATGTCACAGATACCACATCTCCAGGGCCTGAGCAGGAGAATGAGACCAGGATAGGGAAAATGCCACGTGAACCCAAATGCCTCAGATACAGATGACAAGGGGAAGAGAGTACTGAGCTCCAGGTCCTGCACACTTTGCTCTAAGGACTTTGCAATGTCAAGCCTAGCAGACCTAGAAAGTATCATCAGCTTGAGGCTCTCCGGGGGGGGGGGGGGAATTGATCATCTCTTAAAATAGAGAGAACTCTTACTGATTCAAGCTCAGATTTATGCAGTCCTCCGAGCCCTGGGTAGCTCTGTGCCCATGTCTCTTTTCCCAGTCACAGGGGATGAAAATCACAGGTCTCATCTTGCATTGAGAGTGGTCTCATGCTGTTGAGATGCAGAGGGAAACGTGCTGAGCCAGCAGATGCCCACAGCTCCTGTTTGATGCTGGGCCTCGAGCCTCTCATCGGACAAAAGTTGCAAGAACAAAACTGTCCTGTCCTCTGTGTTTTCAGATGCTCATCAAGAAAAGCATGCACTAAACCAAAGGGTGGGAATGCTGCACGCTGCAGGTTGGGGAGCTCTAGGTCAGCAGAACCAGCTTGGAGCGTAAAAGCAGTTGTTCATGACACTGTGTCAGATTCCCTGGCTTTGAAAATTGAAACCTGTGAAAGAATGATGTGGTTTTGATCTCTGCTTTTCTCCTGTGATGTTTTATATACAGTGTATTGATGTCTCATAAAACTGAGATAATCCCTTGCAATTCTCACACTGTTAAGCCTTTGCCTTTTCTGTCAAATCCAGGCTTTAGAGAAGCAGTGAGCCACTGTAGTAATCATTGTGCTCTTTCTTTTCACATCTTTGTGTAGGTTTCATGGTGCCTTTTTTTTTTTTTCTTTACAAAAAGACAGCTTCATTATTGGGCTACGAAGCTGTGCTGATGTCTTCAAAGACTGGCCAAGAGAGACTGCTCAGAGCTGGAGAAGCATTTGTTTTCCTAGGCATTTCCAACACTGCCTGCTCAGCGAACAACGGCGTATTGCACTGCAGTGACATTTGCATGCAGACATATGATGTGATCGAAGCCTTCCTGAAGGATAACCCCCTGCTAGGAAGTTCTTTAGTGCCAGCACAGTCTGCAGATGCCATTGACAGACGAGCAGCTGCTCTTTTGCATCCTTGATTTTGTTGTTTCCCAGAGGCTGTCCACTGTTTCACTGCTGTTTTCCTTCATAGGTTCTGTGGGCACCCCACTGCCAGGGGTAGAAGTGCGCATTGTCACTGAGACCTTGAAGAGTGGTGCTCGTTCCTATGCCATCCATGCTCAGGGAGATGAAGATAGCACACAGGTAGTGCTCAGCCATGTTCTCTACTGCTTCACTTATCTCATGAGTTCTCTCCTCCCCAGCTCTTTGAAGCCTCAAGGACTGAGGCTTGCACTGCTGTTACTCCCAGGAACTCGGTGATGCTTTTAGAATGTCTCTTTTTTTGTGTTCTTTTTTGGGTTACTATAGCCATGCTACCTTGCAGACTGCACAAGTGTGGTCCTTGCTGCATAGTTGAACAACATCTGGAAGAATAACACCCTCTGCATGGGAGTGGGAGGTGAAGGCTGTGGTATAAGGGCTATGGGATAAGATGATATTGTATCTGCTGAGGCTGTTGATGCCCTGGAGGAAGGTGATGAGTTAATCAGTGTCTGGCCTTTGAAAGGCAGGACAAAAAGTTTAAATCTACTGCAGAAGGTAAAAACAAGGCATAGAAGGGAATTCAGGTGAACCCTACTCTGCTCCAAAGAGTCACTAAATATCTGCAGTGTAAAGGAGAGGATGAGTGATTTCTAACCCTGTGTTTGGGTTTGGTCAGGGGCTTAGCAGTGAGAATTGGAAGGGCAGGACTGGTGGCCTTGGAGTTGCATTCATTTCAAAACAGATCAGGGGGAACTCATCAGGTTTCCATGAAAGTCCAGCTGCATACCGAGCTCCAACAGCCACGTGATATCTGCACCAGCAGTTCTGCTGTCCCAGAAGTCAGCTGTCCATGATGATGAAGCAGTTGAGCCCTTTTCCCTATGAACTGCCCCTGTGTTGGGGTGCTCTCTGTTCCCTGCTGCAGAAGCAGCCCCCAGCCCAACGTCCAGAGTGTCCTGCTGCCTCAGCCCCTTTCTCTCCCCACAGAAATGGCTGAGCAAGGTCTGCATTCCTGCCACATCTCCTTTGCACCCTCATTGCGGTGCAGGTCATGTTGCCTCTGGCAGATCAATAGCCAGGTGATGTACAGGCTCAGCTGAGTAGATGGATGTTGTATGCGTGAGAGAAATTGCTCCAGCAGTTGTGTGCACCGTGTGGGTGGGAGACAGACAGGCGTGAGATTCAACCTGAAATACGTGGCTTCACTCATTCCTCTGGGGAAATAGCTTCATCATCTAGCAACGGACATGCCAAGGGTTCAAAGGAGCTTCCTGGTCTGCAGCAGGGAATACCAGAGACGCTACTGATGTAAGTCCTGGTGAAAGGCTCAAGAAAGCCGTTTTTTCCTCTAGGTTATCTGTGCTGGCAGCTGGAGGAGCCAGTGGGACCACAAGCAGCCCCATGTGCATTGTGGTCAGGCTGCAGCAGGTTGCCTTTTGTGTCCTGATGCCAAAACAGAGCACTGCATCCCACCCCAGACATACAAAATGAGCCCAGGGGAGAGCTGAGAGGGACCACTCTGGCCAGGGACTGTGGTGTAGCTGAACAGTGAGCAAAGCAGGAGACCTGGGGTAGCTGCCATGGTGCAGCACTCAACACATAGGAAGCTGCTTCCTGTTTATCTCACTTCAGTGGATGAGTGTTATGTCTCATGGTTTTGTCCCCTCATCCTGGAGTTAGCTTTTGGCCTTTTTTTTTTTCACTCGTGTGGAGCTGAGACATGAAATAGAATGTGTCCATTTTAATAATGATCCTATAATGCTTTTTTTACCCTAAGGGATCCCTGGGCTCTTTACGAATTAGGTCTTAAACACAAGAATCCCCATAGTGCAGCTACTTCCAGGGTGAAATGTGGATGTTTGTTATTATTCTGAATTCTAAGAGGAAAAAAAACCCTAATGGCTTTTTTTTTCTGCTCAGTACTCCCTCCCCTTCCTTCTGTTTATATTGAGTCACCAAAGAAGAAGGGGAGCCCAGATGACCTGTGTCTGGTGCTGGAAGCCCACCACTCTCTGAGGTTTCTGATGGCTGAGACCTACATAACTACTTCCTCTGGCTTCAGGCTGGTTGAGTTCATATTTGGGATAGAGGAATCGCCCTTTTATCCCATCCATTTGTCACATACACTCTTCAGCCCCCAGTGCGGACCGCTGAGGTCCATACCAATGTCTCATGGTGCTCCCAGGAGCTCCCATCAGCACTGGTGTGTTGGCTCCTTGCCCCTGGCTGATGACTGACTTTCCGTCAGGCTATCCCTTGGGTGTTTTATGAGTGTTCTGGTGAATTCTCAAGATATCACCCAGGGAGGGTGTGGGAGTGGTAGAGTTTGCCTCTGGTTGTTGGCTGAGGGGTTGGTCCCTCTCTGAACCCATCTTGCCCCTTGTCCCAGCTTAACTGAGAGTTTCTGTAGGCTGAGGGAGAGAAATGGTCCCATCTGCTCTGAGTGACAGTAAGTGACATTGGTTCCTGTGTTGCTCCAGGACATCCAGGAGCAGAGTGGATCTGCTGCCTCTGTCCCTGGGACTGTCAAAAGGGCTGTGACAAAGTGGGAAAAACGGTCCCTGCTCTTAGTGTGTCTTGGCACAGATGGATGCATGGGGATGCCGGGAGTTTGGCTTCTGTCTGGTCTGTGTATGGAGTGTGACTTTCCATTTCATGGGCAGGTGGCATCCGTGGTGGCACACCTCTTGTCCCAGTGACAGTGTCATTTCACTGCTTCACACCTGTGGTTGCAGGCAGAAAGCCTCACCTGCTGCCTGTTCCTGCCCTGAGATGCTGCTGCTGGCACACTCTGTGCATCATGCTTGGTTAATAATTTATGTCAGAAGAGAGTACGTCAGTGGAATTTATTTAAAACAAGGAGGATCTGACAGGCCAAATGCTCATCATGCTCCACCAGGCAAGGAAGGGTCTGGCTCTGTTTCAGATCAGCTCCTCCATGGTGAAGGGGCTGTCCCCAGGATGAGAATACCTTGTCAGTGATCCCTTCCTCAGTCGTGCCACTGGACATGGCCTTTTCCTTGCCTCTTGTGAGGAGAAAGAAACGCATTTGGCTTCACCTCCCTTGCAAGAGGGCTCTGAGGCTTACAGCGTGTAAGTAGGTCTGTGGTGTGGTCCTGGCAAAGGCAGTGGGATCCGGGTGGAAGGACAGCAGTGGTGAGGCTGGTGCAGAAAGCACACAGCCCACTCAGTGCCCTCTCTGATTGTGTTTGATACAAGCATCTGCAGCCTCATCGCTGCTTTGGGCATTTCTCTCTGTTCTGGCATTGATACTGTGAAAAAGTCCCAAATGTCACGTAATGGATTGCTGGAAATAAACACCTCCCGGCAGCAGGGCCGGCACAGGCAGCGCCTGCCGTCTGCTTCGGTTACACAACTTTCAGGGCAGGGATCTCTCTCTGTACAGAGAAAGCGCGGCACACATCTGTGCCACTGCACAGATAATAATGAAACTGCCACCCCAGAGCTGGTCCTGGCCACAGTGGGGACATGGGGCTGTGCCTGGCAGCATGTAGGACATGGTGTGGCAGATCTGGTGGGATGCTGAGCACCCCAATAGGAGCTGGGCTCCAAGCCATCTCCTCTCACCAGCATCTCAGCTCCTGCTTGCAGGTGATCTCCATGCCGGGGGGTTAGGCGCATTGTCAGGGCAATCTGTGAGGCATTCACACCTCGACTCCACTGTACAGAAACCCTCGTGGCTGTGAGCAGAAAGAGCACCTGCCTTTGCCAAGGAAATCATTTGCTGTACGGAGCCTTGCAAGGTCACTGCCTTCCCCGTTCGCGTTGGGCTGAGGTTTCTGCCTTCTGCTCCATCCTGACAGCAGCAAACAACAGACTTTCCCCGAGCTGTTTCTTCCCCACTAACACTGTCTCTCCCATTAGATGCTGGGGCATTGCTCCGTTTCCTTTCACACCGTCACCCTTTAGACACATTTTGCACCTCCTGCTGCAGTGAGATGCAAACAGGAGCTCGGCAGCATTGTGGTGGTGGCAGAGGAAGGCTGTGGGTGGTGGGAGCGGGGTGGTAGGAAGCGTTTCTGCTTTGCCATCCGGTAACTGCCTGAGCTTGCAGCAGGGGACTGCTGTAATTTGCAAAGCTGGTTTCTGGCACACCCTGAAGATCAATAATCTACTTAGCTGAAAGTTTGCTGGATCTCTGTTCTTCCCTTCATTTTCTCCCACCCCTTGATTAGAGTGCTGGATTCCTTTCATGCGTGTGCTCCAGCCCTTCGATCTTGCAGCTCTCATGAGCCTTGTGCTCCATTGCATCCAGTTTGCACACATTTTCTAGCTGGCTCTTGTGCTGCTTGTGGTAGTTATTGCTGCACCCTGGGCCGTGAGCTGGTTTCCTGAGCTGACACAGACCCATAAGTCATAAGCTGTCAGCTGTGCCCTGCTTGAAGCTGCACCATCACTGCCAACACCAAAAGGTGCTCCAGCCTGATGAGATCCCCTCACTGCACGGTCTGTTCCCAGCCAAGGATGCTCTGCAACACGCTGTGGGACAGGGCCACCTGTGGTGGGGCAGAAGGTGTCAATCCCCATTGGAGTTGCAGTGCTTGCACCCTGACACAGCATCCTTCACCTCTCCCTCTGCAGGAGTGTGTGGTGACACAGAATGTGGTCCCCTGAAGAGATGCTGTCCTCTGAGTGTTTGGAGAAGTGCTTCTCCTCCCATACATCCCTGGGGAGCAGAGGTGTGGAAGTGGATGTCAGGGGACAGCAGCAGCTTTGTCTGCTCCTGTAGCCGCTCATGTCCAAAGCAGCCCCTAAACTTCTAACCAGCCTTAAGCAGCTGCCTGTTGAGTCCATCTGACCGTACAGGCAGGCTCAGTAACCCTCACCCACAGCCCTGGATGCTTTTTTCTCCTGGTCTTTTTTTTCTCCTTAACTTTTTGGCAGCCCAGAATCTCACTCTCCCATGCCTGACTCCGGCGCACAGGAAAGGGTTACAGCTCTCCAGCGCTGAACGTTTCAGTTCGCTTTGTTCAGTGCAATGCATATTTCATACGCTTAGCTTCCCAGCTGGCAGAGGCCTGGAAACCCTGCAAGCTGTCGGGTATTGTCTCTCTCCTTCTTTATTTGTTTGTTTGTTGGTTGGTAGGGGTTTTTTTGGGTTGTCATTTTTGTTGGATTTTATTTTTTTCTTCTGGTTT